CTCATTTGCTGCAAATGACTTAAAGACCTCCTATCGTGTCCCACAATTGTAATAATACGATTATCACGGGGTACGTGCGTGAAAATAAAGCGCTCTCGGAGGACCATAGGAGTTGAAAGTTTAGGAGCTCGTTGACGCAGCGTTATCTATCATTGTGGTCGCGCAGTAACTGCGCTCCCTTAACGACCGCCGCGTGCCTCTTGTCCCCGGCCGTTACCTTCTCGTACGAGTCGCGTCGCGTCGCGTCGTTAAACGCAGCAGAGGTAATTTACGCACTCGTCTCCCCAGCGGTGAATAGGAGCTCGCGGGGCGAAAGGTGCTCGTTAATCCCCCGGGAGCGCCAGCGCAAGTCGCCACGCAGTCACCTCCGCCCCCCACGCCCCCTCCCTCTGTCCCTCCCTCTGCCCCTCTCCTGCGCCCTTATCCTCTTGTAAATGCGCCGCCTCCGCAGACACGCCGCCACGTTTTCTCGCCACACCGTCGCGTCATGGCCCCACCGCCCTGACCTCTGCCTGCGCGCTCGACGCACGGCCGTGTCGCCCCACCGGACCGAGATGCCGCCGTCACGATATCGCGGAATAGCGTGGCCCCTGCAAACCTCCGCCACAACTTCCCGTTGGCCGACACGTCCTCGCCGCAACATTCTTGTTGCCGCGACATTTGCCACTCCGACAGCCCTCTCTTCCGCCATCTCGTCGCCCCAACATTTTGCCTTCCCGACATCCCGACCATGATCCTGCCGCTTCAGCATTCTGCTGCTGCGACATCTCGCCGCTCCCACTTCTCACCTATACGACATCTCGAAACACCGATATCTTGACGATCAGAGATCCCTCCACTTCTCTCCACCCCTCAATCTCCCCGCTGCCCTCCACGCTCAATCCAACTACTCTGCCTCCCCCCCCCACCTCGCCATCCCACCGTTCCCTATTCGCGGCTACGCGTTCGTTCTTTTCTCTCGTGGACAGGTGTTCTCTCTGCCTTAAACTCACCTCGCCCACTTCTCTGCCGCCACTGCTAACACCCAGGGCTCCTTCCCATATCCATGCTCAGCATAGCTCCGTGTACGTCTGGCCGTTTCTTCATCTCACCTATTGCACCTATTTGGAGTTAGGTCCCAGGTTTTGCACCTATTCGGCGTCCGCTCCCGTGATAAGCTGCGCTGAAGGCAACTCTTTCGTCTCTGCCGTCTACTTTTGCAACGTCTCTTTCTCTCCTTATCCACCGCGACGTCGCGCATGTGCAGGCGACGTTCGTTGCAGACATCTCCAACGACTAAGTTTGCAATGCATCACACCCTGATAATATGTTCATTCCTTATCGTCCTCACGTGTTGATCTGCTGTCACCATTTCGTTGCGCTCTCCACACCTCTAAATGCAAAGTTTGACCTCTATCCTCGCCATTCTCACCGGCGCGCTGTCAAATGTCTGCTACGTCCTCAACCCGTCACTAAACTTCTGCCATTCAACTTTGGGTTACGATCGCTACGGTGCCTGACTAAACTGACAAATTTACTGGCGAGCACTAGGGACCCAATTTACAGTTGTACCGTGATGAAACAGTAGTCCAAGACTCACAGACATTTTAATTTTACCGCTTGAGAAGGCTCTGTTTATTGTTGAATTTGGTTAAAATACTGATCAATAGCACAAAATTTGAATGTTGTATGGGGAAGATCAACAAGTCAAGTGAAATGAAGGAACAGAGAAAATTATGTCGAACGAGAAAAAGTAAACCCATGGGAAAATGTAATACATGATTTTCGTCAACATTTATAATTTTCAGCAAATTGTGTTTAATTGGCATTTTTGAAACGAAGACTCATGATATTTTTGTAATCGCGACGCACCTTGGACAATTGCTTATACTTACCTTATCAATGCAAATGTTTTGCATTTCACTTGAAATAATGTACGTAGAAAATTCTATTTGTAGATTAAAGTTACGTTCTAGTTTATCGTTTTTATTATTATATTTTTACTTTTTGTCTGCGGAAAATTCTATCTTGGAATTAAAAATGAGATGGTGAGACGATGTTTGGTGATACTTATGTTGTTACGTTGCAGAGTTTTCAATTCATATTCTGCAGGTCATCTTTTCCAAGGAAAATATAAGAATACTAATATACCAAGGCAATCAGTTAAATCTCATTTAATCTGTTGAATAAACTTTTATAACTTAATATTCTGTAGTAAACGCAAGTATCAGTTATTCGAACTTGGATACCATCCGGTTAAGGTCCTGGCTCCAAGACATCATGCTTAAAAGATATGCAGCTTCTCTGATCTTCCTTTTCTCATTCATAAAACATTGTAATTGCGATTATATTTATTGACCAGATAAATGTGAAATGAAACTTCCAAATTTAGATAAACCCCCCTTCTCGGTGCCGTT